ATGGTAATGAAACAAAGTATGTTATTTGTTGAATGTAAAACTGATGATCTGCCCTGTAAGCTTTCAATCAATTCACAATAAAAACTTACAAAAAAATAAAGATGGCAGCCTTGGATAAGTAATGTTGCACTGAGAAAATTGTAATCAGCGAGATGAAACAAAATGTGTATGAATTGTCCATGGTGAAACTGATGATCTGCTCTGGAAACCTTCTCCCAGTTCACAATAAAAAATAAAAAGTGAAAAAAAAAAAAGATAATAAAACGAATTAGAAAAAAAATCTTCAATGCCACCCCGAGGCAGTTCTGATCAGTCCTACCGGGTCTTTATGAGTTGGAGTTTTATTTTTTAATCTTTTTACCAGTGAATTATTAAATGCACAGTGAGACAAATTATTTCTAAACTGACAAGACAACCGCGCTGTGTTCTGTCTGAGAGCCAGGTGTCCTAATGTAAGCATTAGCTTTAGGACCCTCTCTGTCCCTGGCAGCCTCTGGACAGCTCATTTTTCTTCTCTGCTTCCTGTGTCCTCCTCCATGTCCTCCTCGAGGGTGAGAAGATTGGTCAAATGGGGCCCTTCCAGATCTGTCCTCAGAACCAGGGACCCAGAGCAACAAGAGGACAGTCCCTCAGGGTCTTAGACCCCCAGCCCCATACTCTGCAAGTCTGTGACAGTTTCACAGGAGACCTGAGTGCTGGGGGAGGACAGGGGCATCTCAGACCCCAGTCCACGTGAACACGTGGCACCCAGCTCGGCGCCTGCTCCCAGGAAGGAGAGGAGGACTTGCTCGAAACCAGGCGTTTACATCTCCAGTGGGAGGTGAGGAGGCTCAGAGGGTGAGGCGGTGTCTGCAGCTCCTCTGCCACCACTATCTGCACCACCATCAGCTCCCACCACCTACAGCCACCTGCCGCCTTGGGACTCATAACAGGATGCGGTCTGACCTTTGTGAGGCCCTGGTCCCCAGCCGCCCACCACTTCCTGCCCCTCCACCCTGCTGCTCTTTCTCCCCAAGTCCCGGCAGCACCCCGGAAAGACAGAACCGAAGCGGAAGGGAAGAGGGCCCTCTGGGCTTAGGTGGCTTGGTCCCACCTGCAGATCCACCCCCCTACATCTGACCCCTACTGAAGGTGCCTGAGCCCAGAGAAGACCCTCTGAAGCCCCACCCCCGTATGACCCCTACTGGAGATGTTATCAGAGCTCAGAGCGGTTCCGAGGATTTAGGTGCCTTGGACCCACCTGCAGGGTCCCCCCAGCCCCCCTCATCTGACCACCACCGGAAGTTCTACTGGAGCTCAGAGGGACCCCCGTGGGGGGAGGGGTGGACAGCAGCTGTCTAACTGCTCTGACCCAGGTGGGCCTTCAGATCCCACATCACTCGTACCCCCTCCCAGCATCCCTCACATGCCCCCGTTTCCTTTGACTCATAACGAGAAAGCCCGTGAGCCACAGGAAGGAGGCCCTGAGCCCCACCTAGCTGAACAGGGTGTGGACCCAGAGGCGGATGTCAGCGCCCACCTGGCTGCCCCTCTGCCTGGGTCAAGGGCCCTTTCTGTCACATCTGGGTAAGGGGAAGACAGCGTGCATGCAGAAGAGGACCCCAAGGAAGACTGGGGGTGACAGGATGCAGAAGGCGAAACCCGCTCAGCATCACTTACAGGGCTGCAGCAAGCTCAGCCCAGAGAGTGGGTTCCCACACACAGCGCCCCTACAGGGCTGAGAAGAGCTGCTCCCAAGGATTTCTGGGATGGGAATCATTTCACAGCCTCCCCTTTCTTCCCTCATAACTCTTAAGTTGCTGGTAAGTGCTATGGAGTTGGTTCTGACTCATAGCAACCCTGGGTAGTGTTTCTGAGAAGTGACTGGTGAGTTTGAACCACCAACTTTGTGGTCTGTAGTCCAGAGCTCATCCTACAGTACCGCTCTAGGATTCCTTATACTTCTGGCAAAAACACACCAGGCCACGGCAGGTTGGAGTGCTGCCAACTTCCCAACCATGACTTCCCCGTCACCTTTAAGCTGTCTGGACCCCATCATCTTTCCCTGCGGAACAATCCCATAGGGGAAACTTCAGAACACTTGGTTCTGCTGGCTGCCCACTTTGAACCCTGGGTTTTTCACATGTGGCTATGTGGGGGCCCCAGGAGTGGATGGTCATCTCCTTCAATTGAAGAATCATCCCTGAGATAGATGGGGGGCTGGCACAACTCCAAGTCTACACATACATGTGGACACCAGGACTCCCAAGGCCAAGGTACAAACGATGTGCCCAACTTCCTGGCCTAAGAGAGCACACTTGACAAGCCCCCAAGCTGGTATTCTTTGTCCCTGGATTTGGGGTAACTGAGGTATCTGGGTTCTCACTTCTCAGGGAACAGGATTCTTCTGCATGTGAGGGGCAGATCAGATGGAGGACAGCAGGTGAATGCACCTGCTCTCAAGCCTGCTATCGCTCTCTGCACCATGCTCTGTTCATCTGACAACTTAATAATTCTCACAGCATCCCTCGGGCCCTTCATAGTCCACACAAATGACATCCCTGCTGGGAATGCCACTTTGCTTATCCAAATTAAAAACAAAAACCACTCACGGTGACCCCACGTGTGTCAGACTAGAACTGAGCTCTGTAGGGTTTTCAGGAGCAAACCACCAGGCCTTTCTTCCAAGTGCCTGTGAGTGGGCTCAAACCTCCAGCCTTATGGTTGGCATCTGAGTGCACTAACTAAATATTAACTGCTAAACTGCAAAACCCAGATAACATGCTATCTTCTTGGAGACATTTACAAAACTCTTCGGTGTGTCTTACAGGAATGACAACTCCATTTCAACCCTCCAGCTGACGAGTAGCTAACAATTGACGGTGGTAAGAAGAAAGAAGGGCTCTGAAGCTATAAAAGACCAATCGATTATTGATATCTGCAAGGAACACACGTCGGACACAAGTTCCATGAATTTTCCATCCAAGTTAGCATTTATTAAGGTTTACTACACCATTTATCATTTACAAATTTTAAACATCATTATTTCATTTGAGTAAATCAAAATATGTTGAAAACTTAAAGGGAAGCTCATAACAGCTGTTGAAAGTTAGATCCTAAAGTTTTGTAGACACGTGTTAACATGGTTGAAGGAGCAGGCAGAATACAAGAGGGAAACTAGCAGAGGAAAGAGGAAGGTAGCGAGAGACACAAGGAGGAATGCAAGAGTTAGAGGAACTAGAAGGAAATCCTGTTAACCATTAGTACATGGAGGGGAGTGAAATCATTGTAATGCAGTAAAGTCTATGATTTGTTGCATGTGAAACCAATGAAAACTTCACTCATTTCATAATAAAGAGGTTTTTTAAAATGGAAAAAAAAAAGTTTTTTTCTGGGGGGCCCTGAGTCAGTCCCAACTCATAGCAAGTCTATGGGACAGAGAACTGCCACATGGGATTTCCAAGTCTTTACTGACTCAGACTTCCACATGGTTCTCTCACAGAATGGCAGGTGGGTTTTGAACAGGTGACCTTTAATGTAATAGCCAAGCACTTTAACCACACCACTGCCAGAGCTCCTTAAACCCGGAAGTAGGACTTTATAAACATCATTTCATTGAATACACATAATCCAGTAAGGTGGCGTTGGTTGGGACCCACCAGCCAGTTCATGAGAGCAGTCTGCTCTCTGAAGATGACAGCTGTGTGGGGCAGTTCCACACTGTTCTATGTGGTTGCTGTGAGTTGGAATGAAATTGAGGGCAGTGGGAATGAAAAATGGATGGAGAAAAGGAAGCTGAGTGAGTGGGTCTAGTAGAGAAGTTTTACAGGTGACCGTAATGAGAGCCAGCAAGACCTCATTACTAACTCAAGGTTATTCTGGACTCAGAACACAAGTGACTCCACAAACCAGGTATCGCCTTCTAGAGTTGATGGGGTTTTGTCTTAAGACCAGGATGCCAAGTAGTGCCCAGCGCCTGATGGCTGTTGGATGCGTTTGATCCTTTGCTGCAGCAGGGGCCTTTGGATCTGTGGAAGACTCCCTTCATTTCTCTGTGCCTCAGTTCCCTCTGCAAACTGAAGTGAACAAATGTTTCCACTGCCCCATATTCCACCACCACCATGGAGAGTACTGACCCGACTCATAGCGACCCTGTACAGGGTTTCCGAGGCTGCAAATCTTTATGGGAGCAGAAAGCCTCATCTTTCTCCCGTGGAACAGCTGATAGTTTCGAACTGCCGACCTTGAGGTTAGTGGCCTGAATCATAACCACTAAGCTACAGGAGCTCCTTACTGCCCCAGATAACAGCATTTTAAGACAACTTGTGCCCTCTGCTGGACGGGAAGGGGACATTGAAAAAGAAAACCCATTTAAGAAACAGGACAGGTTGGGGAGTTGGGGGAGCCGTTGCCAAGACAACCATGGCCCCTCCCATCCATTCTCTGGGGCCTCCTCACTCCCTTCCTGTCCAGCACTTGGTTTGCCACGGGCGCCCTCTTCCTTAACCCCCGAACCTTCTTCTCTAGGTCACCACCTGTCTCTCAGGTGGCTTTCCCTTTCTCTACAATGGAAGAGGCGGGACCCAGGAGATCAGGAAAAATCAACAACACCAAGGATCAACAACCAGAGTGTAGGTTTCCAACAAAGCTTCTCTTGGAAGAGAGCGAAGACAGCCAGCCCTCTCAGTGAGACCTAAGCAAGAGCTCACATGGAGTGGTCAGCATCCTCCCCCCTGCCGCGTGCACCCACTGACCCCACCTCCACCCCCACTCTCCTTCCTCATCCGCGGGACTCCAGAAGGTTGGAGTGTAACCTGGTACAGACACCCTGCGTGCGGGGACTACACTTCCACCCTGGAGTCTTGGTCGTGCTCCCTGAGGACCTAGCCAAGTTCTCTTTGTCCTGGCTCGAGTGGGTGGGTGGTCCGCACACGACTAGAGTCAGACTGTCACTGACCTCTGTGGTCACAACAAGGGCCCTGGGGACAGCGGGTTTTTGCACGGCGGTGCGCGCTGCGTGCTCAGTGTATGTCCCAGGCACAGAGGTAAACGCCGGAGTCCCCCGGCTGTAGCTTGTCTGCGCTCAGGGTGAACTCGCTGTCCTGGGGCCGGGACGCCGAGAGGTGCCCGGGGGCCTCGCTCTGTATGTCGCCCACACCAATCGAGTAGAAGAGCATCTGGGGGGACCCCCCAGCTGCCTGCCAGTACCAGTACAGGTTGGGGTTCGATGTCCCGGTCACAGAACAATGCAAGGACACAGGGCTGCCCACACGTCTCACCAGGACGACAGGCCACTGTCGAACGGTCCGGGCGTCAATGCCTAAGGGCAGAGTGAGAGACCACTTAAAGGGCACGGAGCCCATCCGGCTTCATTCTTCCTGGATCCAAGGTCCCAGATGCCCCGGGCCGGCCTCCAAGTCAGTCCTGGGGCAGCGAGAGATAGGGCAGCAGGCGCAAGGCGAGGGGACACGGGAGATAAGACTCCTCCCAGGGGACATTGGCCACCACCAGCACTAGCCTGGAGAGTGAAATCCCACCAGCATCCGGCTGGCGGCAGCGGAGGACGTGGAGAGGGGTCACTAGAGTCAGCCACAGCGGCCCTGGGGCACACTGGGCCGCAGGCAGTGTGGGTGTGGGGGTCTAGTCCAAAAGGAGCTGGACACCCACCTAAGAAAGTGCCCAGGAGAATAGCAAACATGAAGCAGGACATATTCGAAGAGGGCTTTGGGATCATCTCCCCTGGTCCCCACAGAGGTGGCCAGCCCCTTTCTCCCGGAGACTCGCGACCGTGGAGTGAAGGGAAAGCGTTGCGGAGCTGGGGGCGAGGCAGGTCTGTCTGAGTGCCCTGACTCACCGTGCCCCACCCTGGAGTAGCCCCACCAGGCCACGTCAACTCTCCTGCATCAAAGGCTCTACACTGGGGTCCCGGAGCAGAAACGTCTGCTAAGAACCGAAGACTCTCTGGGGCCCCCGTGAGGCCACAAGAGGCTCTGCAAAAGCTGGCTCAGGATGCGCCCCCTGGGAGCTAGAGAGCAGATGTCCACGGAGCAGGATCCAGAGGAACTCCTCCACATGAGCACCTGCCTCCTCTGGTCCAGGGTGGGATGGGTAACGGACGTTGGCAGCGGCAGTCTCTGCTGAATGGCGTCACCAGGTGGGGTGGGGGATGTAGACCCTGTCACAGGTCAGAGAGGCTGGCACATAATGACTGTAACTGTCTGTAATAGCCTCCTGTGGCCTCACGGGGGCCCCAGAGAGTCTTCTGCTCTTAGCAGGCGTCTCTGCTCCTGGACACCAGGGTTTTTGCACCGTGTTTTAGCATTGATTACTTTTTATAAAAATACCCCTGAAGTTAGTTAGTTAGTTAGTTTGTTGTTGTTGTTGTTAAGTGCCGTGGAGTCGGTTCCGACTCATAGCGACCCTGTACAGGTTTCCGAGGCTGTTAATCTTTACGGGAGCTGAAAGTCTCATCTTTCTCCCGGGAAACAGCTGGTAGTTTCGAACTGCTGACCGTGAGATTCACAGCCCGACTCGTAACCACTACGCTACCAGAGCTCCTTAGTTAGTTACAAAGGAGTCCTGGTGGCATAGTGGGTTACAAGTTGGGCTGCTAACTGAAGATCAGCAGTTCAGATCTAACAGTCGTTCCTAGGGTAAAAGAGGCTTTCTGCTCCTGCAAAGACTTTGTTGTTGTTGTTAAGTGCTGTGGAGTTGGTTCCAACCACAGCAAACCTGTATGGAGTTCCCGAGGAGAGGTTGGTGAGCTGGAACCGCAGACCTTTCAGTCCAAACCAAGTTTGCTGTCCAACACATTAACCCACAGCGCCACACCAGGACTTTGGTGGAGACTTAGAACCACCGAAACTCTAGACAGAGTGGCTATGGGTCAGAATCGACTCCATGGCAATGGATTTGGGTTGGTTTCACTACTTAGAACAATATGAACAGGTTTTGTGAGCCCAACTTTATTGTTATGTGCCGTGGAGTCGGTTCCAACTCATAGCGACTCATGGGGCTATAAATCTTTACGGGAGCAGAAAGACTCATCTTTCTCCCACGAAGCAGCTGGCAGTTTCGAACTGCTGACCATGGGATTAGCAGCACGATTCATACCAATTCACTACTCTAAGGTAAGCACTGGACTGCTAACCACAAGATTGGCGGTTTCAGGCCACCAACCACTCCTTGGGAGAAAACCAAGGCTCTATGCTCCTGCAAAGATATATATGGATGGCGGTTCAAGTTCACCAGTCACTCCTTGGAAACCCTATGCAGGGTCGATGTGGGTCGGAACCAACTCAACGACACTTAACAACAACCATATGCTCCTGCAAAGACATAAAACCTCAGATACCCAACACAGGTTTGCTATGAGTCAGAACCCACTGATGGCACTTAACAACAACAATTCTCTCAGGTCAGAGCTACAATTATGACCCAGTTACAATGACACTTCAAATCACGTGGTTTCGTCTGCACCTGCTCTTAGCACTCGATGTTGTTTTCATTATAGATGATGTTTTTTATAGTCACCAATTGTGTCTATGTTTTCTGATGTTTTAGCTGTAATGTTGTGGTAAATAGTATTTGCTCAGATCAACCATCAACACTCACGGAAGCAGCAATCAAGAAATCAAATGACATATTGCATTAGACAAATCTGCTGCACAAGACCTCTTTAAAGTGTTAAAGAGCAAAGATGTCAGTTTGAGGGCTAAGGTGCTCCTGACCCAAACCATGGTATTTTCCATAACCTCATATGCATGTGAAAGCTAGACAATGACTAAGGAAGACTGCAGAAGAATAGTTGCATCTGAGTTATGATGTTGGAGGAAATGTTAAAGTACCATGGACCACCAAAAGAACAAAGCAGTCTGTGTTGGAAGAAGTACAGCCAGAGTGCTCCTTGGAAGTCAGGATGCCAGACTTCATCTCTCAGACTTCTCATATTATCAGGAGGGACTAGTCTGTAGAGAAGGATATCATGCTTGATGAAGTGCAGGGTCAGTGAAAAAAAAGTCGGTACTGACTGGACGACACCTAAAACAACAACAACAAGTAGTATTTATAAATATATTAATAACCTATATAAATATATATATATATATATATGCTTTAGACTAAAATAGTAAATTCAAGGAAAAGGAGAAAAATCACTCAGTTATAACAAAATAACTATGATTGTTATAACTCAATGTAGTTATTTATACAAAATGACTTTTGTTAGTATTCATATACTCTAAGAGAAATGTTACATTTAAGCAATTTACAACTATTTTTATCACATGTTATTCTCTGATTTAAACTGAAAATATCACTAAGGATTTTCTGTATGGTCTGGTAGGTAGGAGGTCTATTTGGGGAGACAGTTGTGGGGGGGAAGTGGGTTGACACCCTGAGTTACGAACTGGGTGACACCAACACTAACTGGGTGGCACCACCGTCTCTGCCTGACCATAACTCCTTTGTCCACTGGACACTGTGGGAGGCAGTGGATAGTTAGGCCGCAGAATCCAATCAGTCTGCATTCTAACCACAGCTCTGCTTGGCTGTCTTCTCAACTCCTCAGTTTCCCCATCCATAAAATTAAAAGATGGATTACAACACCGTCTTCACAGGAATAAGAGAATGAAAAGGTTGAAAGGGACACCCTGGAACAGAACTCACACATCATGAGTCACTTTTCAGCCAAATGACAGAAAGGCCTATGAGGTGAGGTGAGCAGTGATATCAGAGAGGTTGTCACTCAGTCATCTGAGGTTTGTTTTCAAGCCCAGGAAGAAAGCTCAGAAGGCAGGAAGGGAGAGGAAAGATGGGCAAAGGGAAATGCTAACCACAGAGAGGAAGTGGGAAGATGCTGTTACAATTTGGAGATTGCAGTCAATGTCACAAAACAAAATATGCATGGACTGTTGGATAGAATCCAATTCGCTCTGTAAACCTTCCCCCAAATCAAAATGAAAACAGATAGATCAGTCAGTAAGTGAAAGAGAAGCAGGGACATTTTCCTGTCATTGGGCAGACACCCTGCAATGTGGGATGTCCGGGCTGCAGGGGAGCTGAAGCCTACAGCACAAACTGCAAAGTGAACAAGGGGAAGTGAACTGCCAAGAAAGACACAGGAAAATACTTAGGACTGCCATTCCTAACAACAGAGGAGGGGGCTGCTAGGCTGCGAACCCTGTCCTAGGGGAGATGCAGGACCCCGAGATGCCAGGGGAATAGCCACATTGTCCACCAAGGACCCAAATGACTGCTGGAGAGAGGTGGGATGTGCACTGGCTGTGTGTCCCGGGAAAGGGAGCAGGAGACGAGAAGGGTCTAACAGGAGAGTGTGCCTGAGAGAGCAGGTACCGGTGACCCTCCCCATCCCACTGGGGTCTGGTGAGGTGACAGCTGTCTGTGGCTGGTGCTGATACAGCAGTGACACGTCTCAAAGAGAATGTTGGGGTTCCAGCTTCAGGCAGAATTGAGCCACAGCAGCATTTGTGGCTGTGCATTTGCATGCCCTGCGTGTGTGATTTGCTTTTTCTACTTGTAGCTCATTCTCTCATCATGTTTACTTTAGAGATGATAGATAACACACGTTTCAAGTAGCCTGCACTCTCAGTGAGCACTCAGAATATACAATGAGAGGTTGCTACAGCCAATAAAGATGCCAGGGATGGTCCTGGCGTGGAGCTATAAGATAACCACAAGTTCGGCAGTTCAAATCCACCAGCCTCGCCATGGAAACCCTCTGCAGGGTCGCTATGAGTCAGAACCAACTCCACGACATTTAGGAAGAACCTCAGCTTTTATGGGTTTGGTCACAGGTCTGAAGATAATGTTGGCAACAGGTCAGATGGAGGGAGTGAGTCCAGGAGCGCTATGCTCTCATCTAAGGGGCTTCAAAAAAAATCCGTGAATAATTCCATGATCTTTTCATTCCATTTCCCCTAAAGCGTTTGAAGCCCCTTCATGTGCATGTGTACAATCTATTTCTCCCCTCTGTCCTCCCCCCTTTTTGCTCTTGGGATTTCTACAGGGTCAGTCCTGTGGGGTGCATAGGGGGTGGACAAGGGCGGCAGCAGCTACAGTGACAGAGACGTGCTCTTGTTCTTGCTGGAACCACGTTGCCATCTTGCATCTGACTGGCATCAGCTGAGTGAGCTCAGTGGTGTCACCAAACAGAGCAGACAGTGTGCCCTCGCTCCACCCTCAGAGATAGCACCAAGGACCTGGAAGTGTAAAGGAATTTAAGCTTGTGCTGGCACTAATTGTAGGAAAGCTGGAAGACAGACCAAGAACATTTCAGAATATTACTTAGTACACAACACATAATTTGATGAGGACAAAGAAAGAATGTATCAAACAGACATAACATATATGCATCTGATAACAGAACTTCAAATGTATAAAAACAAAACCCTATTGAGCTGGAGTCCTGGTGTAGCACTGTAGGATAAGCACTGGACTACTAAACACAAGGTCAGCAGTTCAAACTCACCAGACGCCCATCGGAAACCCTATATAGAGTGGCACTTAGCAACAACAACAACAACAACATTGAACTGCAAAAAGAAAGAGACAAACCCACACTCATAGGGGAGAGTCCAACCCCTCACTCTCAATAATTAATGCAACAAGTAAAGTAGACAAAATCCATAAAGAGGTAGAATAATGAATAATACCATCAGGAGTCCTGGTTTGGTGCTGGAGGATAAATAC